GCTCTCCGACTATGGCCCTGGGCCATACAACCACTCGTACACACACACCTTCCTTACCTTGGTACTGGCGATCCCGACTGCCACATACCAACCTCACCCCTCAGCGATTGTCACCCCGCCAACTCAGCTTCTACATCGACTTGCCAAGATCCCGCAGTTCGTTGCGGCCACCCGGTGCATAGTCTTGCAAAACTACAGTCAACTCATCAGGACTTTTCGGCTCGCCGTACATACACATCATCTAGCCACGACTTCCTGAAAGCTGGCAGATGGGTTGAGAGAGAGTTTTTTGGATGCGCTTGCAAATTTCATAGTTGCGAAAAGGATAGAAGATGGGGAGAAATGGGGCGGAGGTAGGAGGGGGTGGAGAGGGAGTTTGGGTAAATTGCCCAGGGAAAGTCATATCGATCCCCGCGGGTTTCTTCACAACCAATCAGATTACAACGTGAGGGGAGTATCCTCCTTACATGACGTCGCTTGATGACTTGAGTACACGAAAGGGGGGGATTGGTAGGGAGTTCCTAAAGGCGGGAAGAAAGAGAGCACGAAGAGTAGTGCGGAGCAGGACCAACTTGAAGATTCCGACAAAAAGGATCGGGAGAGATGCGGGTAGGGAGAGGGGATGGAAAACAGTTACAGATGGAGGAAAGAAGGCGTGAAGAAGAAAGAGGCGAAGATGGCGTGGGGATGGTAGTAAGCGAGGGAAGCTTCCCCCATACATGGCGCCGACACAGAAACAAAAAGGCACCAAAACAGTTAGGTTCCTCTCATCCTAGTTCTAAGGCTAATTCAAGATTGAGAAATTAAAAAATGATATCCACGCACGAGACTCGGCGCGGAAAAAATCCTATGTCTATTCAGACCCTACTGAAAATTCACAAAGCCTTCAAGTCTGAATTTAGGAACATTCATTTGCAAGAAAGGAAACGTCAGCGGTAGGCGCGGCCACAAATTCCAGAATTTCCAACTGCCGATCAAAATTCCTAGCGCGTTTACTAAGGCGTGCGTAAGTCCTACGTAAATTCGTGGATCGCCGGAAAGAAATTGCGAAAAAGTCCTCAAAAAAAAAAAAAAAAAAAGCAACAACTAAACAGAAGGGCATCGTTGGCCATTGATCTCATGCATACCACCAACTAAACAGAAGGGTACCCCCCCCCTTAAGCCCGTTAGAGATCGAAAAAGCACGGATAACAAAACTCACGACTTTGGAAGTTCGTTGAAGTACAGAAGCTGGCACGACACAGGTACCCTGACCACGAAAAGTTGCAGCAGTAAACGAGCCACATATTTGTTTTTCAAGCGGGGGAAGTCATTGGTGGTCGCTTGAAAATCAATTCCGCGCCGGTACATTTGGAAGCCAAGCGGGAGCGGACCACTGTTGATAATTTTCATTGGCGTCCCATTTTCTGTCTGGGCCTTTTTTCATGCCCGCAGCTGATATATAGGGAAACTTGTGTTTGATTAGGTTGTCTGTCATTGTTCTGCATTTGAATTTTCCATTGGATTGTGTGAAAGTCCACTGGTTGATGCCTGAAATCAGCGAACCAGTCAGGCAACCATGTACTCACCGATTGCTCCATCCTTCGAGTTTATGTTTTGTCTAGGTATAGCACTTCCCGCTTTGAATAGATGCGGTTCTAGTACAATTCCAGAGAAGACAACCCATCCATTGTCCAGGAACAAAGCTGGCTGACGTTGGGTCAGATGTTTGGAAACTTCCCTGTCAATCACCCCAGAAGCAGCAAAACATTTCCCCCGAACTATTATTATCATGTCACTTAGCCCATGTTGCATAGCTGACCTTGGAAGCCAGAACATCCGCTGTAAACAGCCATGATATCCAACCCTCCCTCTTGAGACAATACGGAAGAAGGGGGTTGCTGAGTGTGAAGGTCTTGTCAATCTTCTTCTTCTTTTTGTCTTTTTTTTTTAAGGTACACGCACCCCCCCCTAGTATGCCCCAGGGTCTTGCCAATCTGACTTTACTCTTCCCCGAAAGTCGCTTCTACGTACCAGCTGGGTTAAAAACAAAAAAGGTTTAAAAACTTTAATTGTTCCGCTGCAACGGTCCCCGATTCAACCGTCCAGACCTTTTTTCTTTTCTTTGCAAACTTTATGAGGGGCAACACTTAGGAAGGTGGTAAGAGCATCCTTCCGAACTTGGCCCCCAGTTAAAGGCTCCATGTATTGGTGGGGAGCTGCACCTGCTGGAAATCAGGTCCAGCGTGTGATAAACAACGTCATGCCCCGCGCAACGTCCTGGACCCGTGTGAATGCTGATCAGAGTAGGTGGGTGGGGCACGGCCGAGGATTTTGGGTGGGGAAATTGAACCGCCAGGATGAAACTGTGGTTCTCGCTCCAGTCCCAGGGTTACCTTTGGAAACACAGAATTGACAGGGGAAAGGGAAAAATGTGAGAAGGGGGAGAAAGACACCGAATACACTTCAGAAATTCCCCGTGACGGCAAGGGTAGCTCCGCAAAAGGCACACGTCCGTCGATGAAGAAAACACAAACAACAAAAAGAAACCTACTCCACACTAAAATCAAGCCTCTCTTTCGTGGGGACCAAGGAAGAAGGAGACACCGGAGTCCAGCAGGTTGAGGTTAATCTCGACCATCGCATCCGTCTGTTTCTTCGCTATCAAACGGCGGGTGGAGCGGAGGTATCAGGACCCGGAAGTTTGCCACAAGCTTGCCTGCGTGGGGGGTGAGATCCGGGAGCCGAATGGAACCTTGGTATCCCAGTACCAACCGTCACCAAAAACATGAATTTCTGAGCTTGCACCATCTGCAGTTGAACTGAGGGTTCTAGGTGGCATGCGCACTAGACCAGGGAAGCACGGTAAGATCAACTTGATCAGAAGGTAGGATTAATTGGGGAGCATCAAACCGATCAAGAGACGAACCCCTCCCCGCCGATGTGGCAAGCCTTCGATGGGTTGTAGATAGCGATCTCCTAACATCCGCGTCGCAGTAGACTCCGTCTTCATCTGCGATTGGGAACTCTGTGAAGCTGCTATGGTGGATCGATGTAGGTTCGAACATGGGCAAGTGCCTGCGCTTACACTTAACTTAGCGAACCTGGACTCTGTACAACCGTGGTTCTAATTCCAACTCCTAGACCCGAGCACCAACCAAAATTGTGAGAAGGAAAGCAAGGACAACGATCTGAACAAAATTATCACTTCACAAAATGACACCGAATTCCTACAACATCCACGCAGCAAGTGATTAAGCGAGTCAATCGCCCTGCATCTCTCTGCAAGGGGAAGGGCGTAACGAAAGGGGCAAATAAGCGGCTTCACACTTGCACTAAGCGCGGGGATCGCTAGGTCATACAAAGCAAGGGGGTATCTGCACACTCATACATCCACGTAGACGGTTGAGACCCGTCCAAATTTGATGCACATGCGTGAGAAAATGGAACAGCGAGAGTGAGAACAACATAGTAGCTCCCACTCGCCCATACAAGCACTTCATGCATACATGGACTCTCTGACAGCGAAGCAACATGCATCCATTCGACATTCACAGCCAAGGTTCTGCATATGACTTAGTACACACACTTAGTCTTTGGCACACATGCACACTCGGACAAAACAGCAATGGAGAAAAGCAGAAGTCCCTCACTACTCTTCATTAAACAACATTCATGCTGGCACTGCACGTGTGCAGCCATCATGTCCAACCAAAAGGCGCACCAGCACAGTCACAAGGCCTTGCCACTGGCCGCACCTTCGTCTCCACCACCGCTCAGTCCACCTGGCTACCATCCACCGAGACTATCGCTGTCACTCCGCCCGTCCTTGGGCACATCGAGCCTGTTCGGCGCCGCAGCCTTCATAGCTCTCGTAGCATTGCAGCTGAGATCAAAGAGAAGGAAAGGAGGGGGCTGCGCAAATTTATAGCCCGAAAAGCGGCGGGGCACCAGCATGTAATGTGGGGGAGCTCAGGGTGGTAGATGAGGAGGAGAGGTGGAGGGATGTTCTAGAAGGTCGACGAAGGCGGGTCGATTGGAATTTTCTCACAATTGAGGTGGCAGCCCAAGCCACGCGCATAAGTTTGCTCTTACGACTTGATCCGGCTGACTCAACTGGCGACCAATCGCCCACACCAGAAGGTAGTGGAGGAAGAGGAACAGGTACATGTAGACGAAGGACGCGCAAGAAAGAAGTTGGTGTGTGAGCGGAGGCGGGAAGCTAACTTGTGTGAGCATGCAGGAATTTGAAAAATGGCCGCGCGTGCGCCCGCGTGGTCGGCTGCGCGGAGCTACTTCGAAAAGGACAAGGGCAATTTCAAAAAATTCATGCAATCATCCCCAAAAGTTTGGAACTGGACCCGCATCATCCGCCTTCTCATCAAGGTCTGTACTCGTGGCTTACTTCGGGGTTTAACCTGAAGGGTACGTGAAGCCACGCCATAGGGAACTTGGATTATCATTGGCGTCCCTCAGGATACAACTCTTTGTTTGGCCAACATGGTGGACATTTGCTCCAACTACGGTCTGACATTGCATAAGCAGGTTGTTGTTCTAAGTGCTACTAGTTACTGGAAGCTGATACTACTGATCCTTTCGTTCCAAGCCTTCCACTGGCGGGTGAAGACCCGACCCAGCATCTCTGCCCCACCTTTACGCCCCTGGCCCCACCGGGGCCAGCAGTCCGCTAACTCCCACAGGGAGTGCTGCCAGCTTATTCTTGAGTTGGCCCAAGGTGGTTGGGATTCGGAAGTCGACCTTTTGGCCACTGTGGCATATTGTGTGTGTGTTACTGCACCTCCTGTCAGCCCCTGTACCAAAGCAAGTGCAGCCAGCATCGACCTTATACCACCACACGACACCTGTTGCCTCTTGCTGGAGGCGTCCAGAGAATGTTGACTGCAGTTGTCGTTGTCTTTTGTCCATTTTGGCTACTTTTGTGGTATTTCGAGGTTGGTTTGTCCGGCTGACCGGTGTACCAGGCTGTCTCTTATACACATCTAGATGTGTATAAGAGACAGGGGGTGCGGTGGAGGGGGAGGGAGTGGGGTCAGGTGGCGGGGGGCCCGATGGAGGGGGAGGGGGTGGGGCAGAGATGCTGATGGGGGAGCTGATGGGGGAGCGGACGGGGTAGGTGGGAGGGAGGCTGAGGAGAGCAGGGGCGCCTGAAGAGGGGAGGAATTGTCCGACGGCGAAGGGGATGCTGGAGGAGAGTGAGAGAGGGGGTGGTTACAGGACAGTTCAGGGCGAGGGTGCTCCTGTTTTGGTTTGGCAGAGGCAGGAAAAAACAGTCTGCTGGTCTGAGCCACCACTACTTTTCCTGGGCGACCCAGTTCTTCCAAACTCTTTTGCCATTTTCCTGCACATTAGCCATCTTTCGGTGGGGTCCAGCCAGAGCTCCTTAAAAGTCGCAACGGTTAGCTGCTTTGCTGCCCTATCGGGGGCTGCAGCCATGTCGGCCACCAGTTTACTGCTGACCCTGACAATATTGGCTCCAATAACTTCCACTATGTCTGCCTTGGCTTGCTCGAAGTCAAAGGTGACGTCTTTTCTTTCTGCTGAACATCTCATCCTCCAAATGACCATGAGGATAGCCAGCCGCATGTATTGAAAGAGGTTGCACTGGAAAGGTGTACAGTTTTTCAGGAATTCCTTTTGTTTTCCCAGCAGTATGAGGCTTATATTCCATGGGAAGTCAGTTTCAGTTAGTTTATTCCGCAGTGGATCTCACCAGTGCCATATCTGCAAGGCCATGGGGCTGGCCAGCAGACAGTGCTCAAAGTCTGCTCTCCTATGCTGTGAGGAGGGTCCGCAGTAGGAGCATATCAGGGACAACTTTCCCGCTTGTTCCAGGTTGGAGCGTGACGTTACCCAATCCGGGGTTGGGAGGCACCGGTGTATGATCTGCCACTGGATGGCCCGAAGGGAGGTCGACGTGATGTGCCCGTAGGTAGACCATGATTCAACCGTCCACTTTACTAAAGTGCCCACCAAAGATTTTGTACATCGCATGGCTTTCCAACTTCTTCTTCTCTCTTTTTTTTTTTTTTTTTTTAAAGCAAACCCACTGTATCAACTTGAGTACTATTCGCATGTTAAGTGCTCCTCGAGATTAAAGCCTCATGCTTTTTTTTTTTTTTGAATGGGAACAAAGCTCCAATCTATTCGTGGGGAGCAGCACGTGCTGGGAACCGGGCCCAGCGTCCCATATGAAAATTTACATAGACGTTTGAAAGTTTGAGATACGGGGGCCATTACCCGGCTTTGGCTAAGAAAAAATTGAGCTACTTAGAAAATTAGTACGACAAACCTCAGAGATAGGCAAAGTTCAGAAACGACTCAGAAACCCCCCATCAATCCTCTGTACCTCACTCCGGCAAGACTTACTGCAGCAGAGCCACCATCTCCGCTGCTGCCGTACCCTGTTTCCATCTTACGAGCTAGCCCCCTCACTAGTAGGACGCTTGATATCCAACCATCTACTTCTCCCAATCACCTCTTTTTGAGAAAAAATTAAGAAGACCTCCCCCAGCCAGCATTGATTGCCCCGGAAACCAGGGATTTACTGAGCAGGGATGCCCTTTTTGTGTGTGATGAAAGTTTCATGTAGATTATAGATTAAAGCCTCATGCTAAGTCCTTTTTTTGTGTTTTTCGCTGAAACTTGGATGTGGTGCAGCCTGATGATCTAGGGTAGCCCCAGACTTTCAGGGATGCTCTGTTCTGCTGCCGATGCTCTTAGTGGGGAATGTCACCTGCTAAAAACCAGGCCAGTATCACGTGGGGAAGCAAAGTTGTGAAGAGTACAACGACACACACAGGTCTCGTCAGCCCTTTGTTATGTGCCTGATTGAAAGTGAACCGAGCATGACATTCACACGTTCCTATACACATGGGCAATGACAAGAAAACTTGGACAGAGCAACCCACACCAAACCAGAAGAGGAGAATACACAGCAGAAGCACTCAAAACCATTAATAGAATTGAATTTAATTCAATTCTGATTGAACCATCTCTCTCCAACTCAATCAGCAGCACAAAATTCCCAGGATCCAACCACGTTATCAACACCCATGGCTAATTATTAACAAGGTTTCATTGGAGTATCAGGGAGACTTCTTCTTCCTCCCTCCTATTCAAGCTGTAGCTATGGAGTCTACAGATCACTGGAGTACCCTGAATAACCCCAGCACCCAGTCAGCATCCACTCAACACCCTTTCTGCTGCAGGAAACACTCGCCCAACAGCGAGCGCCAGCTCCCTGAAGGATGAAGAAGAGCTCCCACTCCAATGACGATGATGAACCCGCCTGTCGAACCAGACACGAAAGCCCAAGCTGCTTCGTGGAAGCTGTCAACACCAACACACAGCAGAGGAGTACTGCACCTTCAGCGCCTGAGCCTGGTGCTCAGCGTTGTCTCTGAATGAAGCAGATGGCCCCAGCTATGGCCGCCAACACTCATAGTGAAGGAGGAGCAGTGTGCTGCTTCGAAAATAGAGCTGCTCCAGGCCACTCCTCCCATTAGCGGCTTTCCAAGTGAAAAGAAAAAAAATGACGAACCAAAAGCCCCTACTGCACTGCCTTCATGAACTTTGTAGATTCACGAGTGAGCCACTAGGACGGGCTACCAAGGCCTACAAGCTACCATACAGCTCCCAGGCCTATGTGCAACTGAACCTAGACAGAAAACAGGATATAGGACAACCAGCAACTGGGAAAGAAAACAAAAGAAACGGCTGTCCTGAAAAGAGCTCAGCAAGCAAGAGGACCAGGGATCGATTCCTGGGCCAGAACTGAATAAACAAAAATGTTAAGCACCGGACCTGGGGTTGAATCCCAGCAGAGGAAAAATCGAAAGCAAAACAAAAGCACTCACCAGACAGCGGATCCGCGGATCAAACACTGGCAAGCACGCACTACAAAAATACACAAAACAAACAAGTGAGTTTACAGCCCGGGTATTACCCTGCAGTTCATTCCATTCCTACCTTTCCCGGACCCCGAGCTAGGAGTGTCCACAAGGAGACCGTCAGAGCGGTTGCCCTTTCTGTTCAGCCTCGTAGAACTGTACGACTGAATTGGCAGACTTAAGAAGTTCCTTCCAGGTAAACCACCGATCCTCTATGTGAGGTTGGAAGCAGAACTTCAGAAGGTATTCACAACAAGGGCCTGTGCCCCGCTGATCCACTATGCTCTCAACTTTGTATCCCTTCCTGCGGTGGCCTGTCAGGAAATGCATCAGCAGGAGTGAAAGGCAGCAGTTTCATAGCATGGAAGAGTGGATAGGTCCTGATAGGTGGGTACAACAAGCACGTAGGAAGGCCCAAATGGATCTGCCCCCACAGTATCAAGTACCTGCTATGGACAGTAGTAAACAGGCAACAACTTTCTTGAAATATGATGTTCGGCAATCAGTTCAGATCTCTTCACCCAGACCCAGTGACCTGGCTGTATAGTAGAGGGAGAACGATGCTTGTTAGTTTCTTCGATCATCCTTTTCTGGGCCTTATTAGCTCTAACTCTCGCTAGGTCTCTCGTAACTCTTGGTCAATTCTGTAGTCACAGGAGAGACTTGTCAATCAGATCATCCAGAGGCTGTCTGGGGTCTCTGGCAAAGTGCAGCGTGTAGGGTTTAAAGCTTGTAGTGCTATGAACATAAGTATTATACATCAGTTGTGCCCTGGACAGATGTTTGTCGCAGTCCTACTGATCATGTGAAATCACACGAGGCAGCAGCTGAAACAGGACTTGGTTCATCACTTCAGTATTAAACAAAATTTGGGAATCATCCTTGGGCTTGGAACAATTATGAGTGTGATCCGGTCGAGAAAGAATTGGACGGAAAAAAACGAAAGTCCTTTCTTTTCTTTTGTTACGTTTAATTTTTTTTTGCCAACTTCAATTTTTTTTCTGTTATGCGCAGAGTGGCAATTTGGATATGTGTGCAGTAAGCCAACTTCCCTCTCATCCGTTCTTGTGCTAGCTCCCCCATTGCCCTTCTTCTTGAGACTCTTCATCTTCTTCCTCCCTCTTCTCGTGCAGGTGATTGGTTGCGTACAAGCTGTCAGATCGAGCTATTGCAACGTGGATGTAAGGAACACATTGTTGTACCGAGGGTGATTCCATCTTCATAACCATTTGTGATATTATCGCTTCAGGGGCAGTGGTTTTGTTCTGGTTTGTTGTTTCAAATTTTCTCCCGAGATCATCCTTCCCTATTCAAATCTCACCATTCTCCCTTGGTTTGCTGTGCACGCTGCTTGGAATCCACAATTCAATTGTCCTTGGTCTGAGCTGGAAAACTCCTGCTGGTACCGGCGCTTGGTGCTCAGATTGCGGCGCTTCCAAAAAACAGTTGTGAAGTGCACACACTGCTGGAGAGTTTTTGCGTACAAATTGACGAGCCCCATCCACCGCCTGTTTGCACTGCATCCGACCCACCACTAGTACCCATTTCCCACCCCCTTTTGGGCCTTTTCTCTCCCCTTTGAAATTTTAAACGTAAAGTCTTATTTTTCTTTCGAATCCTACGAAGGCTCACTATAGTGGAACTCTCTTCTCCATTTTTGCCCCCATATCGAGTCCTTTCCCTTCTTTCCAAAGCCCTTGTTTTGTCCCTGAAGAATTTCTCTCGAATTGACACGGGAAATTTTTGGCTTGCCCCATAAATTTCATCATCCACCCAAAATCCTCAACCATGCCCCCTACTCTAATTCGCGTTATCCCGAAAAGATAGGAATGTCATGCAGGGCATGAGGTCAGTATTAAAGATGGCACTTGTTGGCTCGAGATGAATTCTCCACCTTTCAACATCTGGCCACATCAGTGTGGCTCCTCTTTGCCGGTGTAGGGCCCAACCCTGTTAGACTTTCGAACCTGTGTCGACCCCAATGGGGGTCCTAGTTGGCTCGGTCCGCCCACACTCATGCTCAAGGCGTGGACCATTCGTCACGGGGCCACCCCCACCTAGTGCTTTGAGATGGATGGGGATGAGTCATATTGCGAGAGAGCTTTGACATTGGTTACGTAGCTCAGCCCTCGCACAGAGTGGTAGTCTCGCAGGTCCTTCACAAGTGTTGTTTTTTTAATACTTTGTTGTGTTTGCAGACAATTGCTCCTTCCAATACTC